GAGAGAGAGAGAGAGAGTCCTTGGGCAAGGATTCTGCAAACGCACGTGCGGGAAATAAGGAAAACCAGTAATTAATGTTTAGACTTTTCTGATCGTTGCTCCATTTTCCTCATTTTGTTTCTATTTTTTTCTTTTTTCATTTGTCGTTCGATCGATTCGTAATCTTTACGAGCGACACGTTAGACGGTCGTGGAACACGTCGAGACAGAAATTGTCCTGATTTTTTTTTTTTCCATCAGAACGTACGGTTACATGAATCACAGTAGCGGAGCACGTAAAACCCGCTAGCACAGAAATGGTGCTCGGTCAACGCTTGCTTGTACATTTTAAGGAAATAAGGTCGTCGATACATTGATTTTAGCCGTAACGTTACGCGCACGTTACGTGGAATATCGCTACACGCTGCCTCTGTACTCCACTGCCACGGGATTCTCGTTCCAGTTGTCGCTTACGACCAAACGAAACACTGGTATCCGAATGCCCCTACGTCGTGCCACGTTTATTGTATTATTTGTACCGTTCAATTGTATTGTTAGCTAGATACCGATACTGTATCGATACGGTAATAATACCGTGCGGATATACGAACACGTCGAACCGTTGAAAGAAATGTTCGCAAAAAGTTCGTTCGTTTGTTCTTGCTCGTTCGTGTAAATTTTTTCTGTCAACATTATGTCGTTACAATGTTTTAAATATCGTTTATCATCTCGATGATTTATCTCCATTTGGGAAAACCATGATTCAGTAGACGAGTTTCCTCTGAACCGTTTGGTGACCCCAACGCTCGCACAGAACAAATCGCGCTAAATTAAATATGCTTCGCAATATCGAATTGGTACGTGAATGCTCGATGACGTTTCATCACGGACCATCTGCACAGTTAAAAACGAGTGGTGGAAGTCAAACAGCTGTGTGCTAGACTCGGAGTTCTGGGAATGGGACAGCAGCCAGACAGAATCACTTGATCAAATAGTAACGCCGTTCAACGGTATCGACGTCGTCACTAATTGTGAACGCGCGAAACGCAAACCTAAGAGTGTCAATAGATGGAACAGGCACTTGACGCATATGTGCACTCGCAAGTAAAATCGATAAAATTTCTCCATTTAGCATTTCGGCCAGATTTTACACCGATTGAATGAGGGAATGTTTCGCCAAGCGAAAATCCTTCCCATCGAGCAGCTTCCGAACGTCGCAAGATCGACGAGTAATCGAGAGATGGAAAAAAAATCTACAATCTTCTGTAATTTTTTCCAGCTGAAACAAACGACTGGGCATCAATCAAAGACGTTAATAAACGTCCCGTGACGCAAGGCGAATTCTGTCGGCGCGGAGACGCGAATTCCACGCTCGCGACGCGATTGTTCCGCGAAAACGCACAATCGTTGGATGCGACTCGCAACGTCCTTGCCGAAGCTCGTTTATTGACATTTCCACGACCTTTAGAACCGCAGCGTTGGTGAATCCTCGCGCGGTCTTGGTTTCTCTCCGGGCGAAGCGGGTGCCAGCGGTTGAAAACGGCCTTAACGGCTTTCACGTAAGATCTCGCTTTCCTAGGCTCGTTACACGCCACGCTCTACGCACGCGGTCTAATAAACCGACGGCCGGTTTATAAATAACCAACGACTTCCAGAAATAGAATAACACTTTCGTGATTATGGTACGGCAATATCGTCGCGACGCGCCGCCGCCAATGGACGATTTGTAGGAAATTACAATTAACTCGATTGCAAGGCAAAATTGCCTTGTACAGGCATGTAGGTTCAGTTCGAAATATCCAGAAGGACGCTCGTGATTGGAGAGAATTTACAAAAGCATTAGCTCTCCAAAATTCGTGTTCGATTCTTCGATCCCTGATATATATGTGGCATTTTCAACCAAGGTGTTCGACGTACCGTGCATCGTTCCACGCCGATTTACATAGCGAACATCATTTTCGCAATAGATCATACCCGCTGACTCGCGAAGCGAACGTGTTGAACGGACCCAAAGAACAGCAGGACTTTTGCCACGTATCTCAAGGTTGTTGTTCCATTCCGCCGTGTTCTATACGCTGCAAGTGTTACTCGGTCGCACGTGTCTAATACGCCCACCCACTAATACGCGTCGACGATAAAAATACCGCGCAACGAAGACGAAAAAAGAAAGAAAGAAAAAAAAAACGTCGCGGAATGATAGTAAACAGGTTAAGAAACAGAGGTTCGCGATACCGATTT